TGATTATGAAAGTTGAGAGTGGGAAATTCTTGAGACCTACTTAGAAACCAAGTTACCTGTTTAGATTTTTAATTTAAAGTTGAAAATTTAAGTCATAATAACAGGCCCACATCCATTTTCAAATAGTGTTTGAAATGAATCATAGTGATAATGAACCACTATAATTTTTTAAAAGTGCTTTGAAAACGCTAGCCGCCATGGTGTTAAGCTCGTGACGTCACTGTCCTTGGACTTTACCAATTATGAAAAGGAATAAGATAATGAGTTATCATCCATCATTTACCACTTGTGTGTTGTGCCTGGATGCAAAAATACGAGCAATAAATGCTTTGGAAGTTATGGATTCAAGTGCTAACTGATTTAAATATGAGAAATGCTTGGTTAAAACTGGCAAGATGATCTCCGAATACATTGTCTACAAAAACTAGACTATACTTCTACGAAGATCATTTTAATGTAAGTATGACTGATATTTAACTATCGTTTATACAAAACAAAACATCATGATGTGATAGGTATTGCAAGTCAAATTTTGTAATAGATTATTACGTTATCTTAGATATTATAACTAATTATTGCTTATAATTATTATTGATTGTAATCATAGGTAAACAACTATGTATTATCAAAATATACTCTGACCTGGTATTGTGTTATTGTATAAACAAAAGTTGGTAATAGTTACTTGATGTACATTGATGTTTTAACATCCCTCAACCAGGCAGAACAAAAATCGGAATTGCATGCAAAAAACTTGCCACCATCAATGTATTTGTCTTTGGTAGATTAGTACTTTCTGCTTTTAGGAATCCGTCTTTCATGATGCCCTTTCAAGAAAATTCGGAATAAAACTCAACAATCGTATTGATAACTTGAAAAATTCCTAAAAATTTCGAAATAACACACATTAGCAGGTTTACTTAACCATTGAGGTCACGACAGTGTCTAATATGGCGGATAGCGTTTTGCAGATAAAAAAATTATTGTTAAAATGGAATTATAAAATTTATAATGCATTTTTATAAATAGAAATTATCAATATTTCTCGCTTACTTTTACAAAACTTATCATAAATATATATTTTTTACATGGTGTAAAATACCAAGCTGATTATTTTGAGCAAAAAAAGTACCTACAGCCTTCGATCAATAATATACTTGATCGAAGCCTACAGCTCATGACGAATCAGTTTCAAAAAAAAACTTGAAAAAGCCTTCTACTTCTTTTATAACTTTTTGAGTTGTTCAAGTCGAAAATTCTAAAAACATTTAGAAAATAAATCAACTCGAAAACTATGAAAAATTGCGGAACATACATGGGTATGATTAAGGTACCCCGAAGGGTGCCCTATCTATGGACTTCCGTTTGACACAATTTTTTGGGACAACTGTATATTGGGAAACCAGTGACAACAATCGCAAGTGTAAATTATGTAAATCGTATTAAACTTGCACCTATCCTATTATAACCTGTATGAAAAAATAAGCTGTATAATGGTTCGTGAGTAAATGGCCAATACGGAGAAGTTTGATTGGCGCGTGTGAGGTTGGATCGTGTCATAACTGACGTGACCCTAAAAATTGAAATGAAGAAATAATGATAGCTCCCCTCGTGTTTGTACATGTTGTGTCACGTACAAAATGTTATCCATCATATTGAATTGTATTTTTTTATAAATCAGAACACGTAATGTGTAATTACATACATTATGTATGAATATATTCGTGTTTATTTCTGAGTATAGAGCTTCTGAAAACATAAGAAAGTGATGGAAATCAGCCGTAAGAACAGTGAAGAAGTGTGGGAAATATGGTTTGATTTATTTTTAAATTGTTACCACTAGGATTTTATCTATATCTTCTATATCGTGGAGACCTTTCACATCACACATCTCGAACTATTTGACGTTATGACCCTATCCTCCATCTATTTTCTACTTCATGACCAAAATGGACTGTAGGCAAAGGTCTTGGACCATACAGTCTTTTGTTCAAAGGTAATACATTTCAACTGTCTACGAGGACACATCAGCTAATTTTAATTACATTTTATTGTAACTATATACATAAGCAATATTAAATTTATTGCCATGATTAACAACAATTACTTAAACAATCTACAAATTTTATGGGTTATACAAAATAATTGCTTTGCTGGACTCGAACCCGCGAATCGCACAACCGTAGCTTTTTTAATTATGCGTGTGTGTGTATATTGCGTATTATGCGTGCGTAAAGCACTACTATACTATGCCACCTTTTGGCAGCAGTGCAAGTGCAAGTGCAGCAAGTGCACAGATTTAGAGTATCATACGCCTATCTACTCTCGCCTTGAAGACACCTATTGTAATCGAATGGAAAGAGCTGGCAAATTATTTCACTCCTTATCCAAATTGCTGATCCCGCGAATTGAAGGCCGAAGGACCAGTCATTTTGCACCTTCATTTATTTTGTTTGGAACACTGACAAACAGCTTTTATACATTTCACTTATTACAAAATTTTACATAGCTATTGAAAGGTATATGAAATTAAATTATATTAAATCGACGCAGCTCTTTGTCGCTAGTCTTGGTATTTTCATCTCGTGTAAACTATGTGTTTATATCACAATCTATTGGATACCTTATGATATTTTCCATGGTCACTTCTTACGACACCGACGGGCAACCTTCGGTATTGCGGATGTTCATGGTCGGTGGTAGTCACTTACAGTTAGGTAAACAACGCGGCTGTATCATCATAATCATCATCATCATTACAGCCCTTCACAAGTTCACTGCTGAACATACGCCTCCACCAAGACATGTCACAAAGCACGGTCCGGAGCCACCTGCTTCCATCGACTGTCTGCATGTCTTAGCAATTACACGGGCGTATATTATTCTATAAAACAGTATATTCTTAATAAATGATCAAGAATATTCAATTAATTTTAAAAACTGGACCTTACTTATAAAAATTGACATCAATATAAGAAATGCTTCAAGGTGCCTTAAGGTTAATAAAAGTAACCAACAATCAAGGTTTATCAGTTAGAAGTAAGAACTTCGTACTTAAGTCAAACGACTGATTTTACCAAAACTAATTTATTAATTTCCTTAAGGCTAATCCATCGATTTGATTATTAATTCGTTCTAGTTGATGATATCAATTGAGAAACATTGTTTGAAAGTGGAAGTGTTACTTTACTCCATTAACGTCTATTAGTACTAATAATTAGCATATTCTGCATTTATCTTTCATCAGTGAATAAAACTCACTGAAAATAACATTCGATGTACAATGTCTCTTTCAGACGCACACGCGTGCAATTAACATGCTTTGATTGCACTTTCGAAACGAATTTATGTGAATTTCATTGTACTTTCTTCGTTTGAGACCGTTCTTGTTTTGTTTTATCTGTTGCTTAAACTACTTCTTCACTTTTGACTTTGAATGGTTTAATATATTTACATAAAAAACTATGTTGTAAATCTATTTTCTCAATTCACAACTATTAATCATGTTCGTAGATCCGGAAGGTTTTATGTTCCAGTGAAATATAAAACTGTGTTAGTTTCAGCTTTTTTTATGACTGGTCTAAAAGACTGAATCGCCAGTTCATCCATTCAGCTTTTTTGAAAATGGAATGTATATAATATTGTACGTCGATATTGACGACGGCCAGTCTTGGTGAAGACGAGCCGTCTGCGCAGCATTATAACGAGTGTGTTCGCAACAGACAAGTGCACAGCCTATTCCTTCGTTCTCTTGATCCGATGGGTCAGGAAACAGGACCAGGACCGACTTCACGTGCTTTCCGAGGCACAGGGGTGAAACACCGCCAATTTCATGACTCCGGATTCCTACTAAAAGTTTCTAGACACACAAATCCAGTAACTGATTTCTTTGGTCCGACCTGGAATTCGAGCCCGGGAGAATATGATCAGCAGACATGGCAGTAAAATAGATACTCATGGTTTCGTGTGCAGTGTAGTGTAGTGCCCACTAGATGGAGTGACGACCTGGAAACGCAAGTAGAAAATCTATGGATGAAGATAACACAGTGTTGTGTTATTATCTGGACCTGGTCATCGTTAGTCTTGTGAGGGCTATTATGATGATTATGATGCTGATGATTGTTCCATAAACCTGTGTGAATTTCAAACAACTTCAAAGAAGAATTTATTTCGACTTTATGTTCCGTGAATATTATTTTTATGTATATACATATATACGTTTTCTTGAAGGTTAGGTTAACGATTTAGCTGTTTTATTATCAAAAGAGTTTCTTTGTGGTTTCATACAAATAACATCCGATGATAATTGATGTCATTTTATATTTATATTAATAATCCAATTATATTCACCTAGAAATTCTCGCCCCACCTTCATCGTACATTAATTAGTATTCATAAGCTTGCTAGCATTTCGCTTTGTTCCGAACAAAAGAAATCGTGACATTTATTATTAAAGCGTAAAGGAGTGGCGCACATACGTTCCTTTATTTTTGTTTATGAAAAATCTACATTTGAAACAGGTTTCTGGCACAAATAGAGCATAATTTGCAATAATATCAATAAGGCACAAAAGATGTCGCTGCGGTTGTCGATATTGTTATTTATATTTTAATATATAATATGTAAAAATCACATTATTATGTGGGAGTAATAACTAAGCATAGCTTGCATATTAAAAACGCTAAGGTGTATAAGCATTAAGTAGTTAAATAAAGAATATTCATTTACATAATGCAATTGTGTGAAGTAAATGTACGCGAAAAGCCAATTTTTGAAGCATTGGCATAAATAATATTGCCAAGGAAATTTACCAGTAAATATGCAAATTTATTTCTTTTGTTTTTCATCAAGTGCACATTATACCGGCCAAAATATTTCTCGTCTAACACGCCCTTGGAGGTTTATCCCAAACCCTGACAATAGAATTATGAAAAAAGCCTCACGAAACAACACACGCTTTAAATATTCATATTATTCTTTCTTTCAAGTAGATAGATAACATGGCGCTGGCATCACGTGCGGCAGAAACGCAGCCACCCAATGATAATAAAAATAAAACAGAGGTACCGTAATAATAAGTGCGTTTATACGTTGCGGAATATGTGGAGCATCAATCAAAATTATTTCTAGAGGTATGCCTTCAGCGCTTTTGCGGTCCACCTGTTAAGGCAAAGTGGAGCGTACGGCGGTAACAGTTGCCTTTGTAGAACAAAATATTCTTTCTTCAATGTATTTCGGTTTTTTTTTCTTTAGTTTCACAATAAAAGCACGACCCCAGCCGTTTGGGTACCGGCGCGGCGCCTACCAACCTCTCACGACCTGCCTCGCGCGACTCACGGCTACTATCTTCATATAAATAAATAAAATTATATAATATATATATATATATATATATATATATATATATATATATATATATATAATAGATAGCCGTGGTAGCTATGCGCTCACTCACAATATCACCGAGAATTTTTAAAATTTCACCAAACAAACACATGAGTTCTGTTCAACACAGTCCACGGTAAATCCTTTAGTTATTTACGGACGTTTTAGTGAAATCAGACGCAAGAAAGTGCTTTTGCTTAGTAGTCCATTTCCAAAGCATTTGCTCTTGTTAGATATTATTTGTATTTCATATCGATTTACGAGAATAAGCAATTATATTATAACACAATCTGTCCAAGTACTCGGTTAATATGATAACTGAGTATTTGAACAGATTGCAGCACAGTCAAAGTCGATTTCTATTTATATCAATGATTTGAATTCAACTATATTTAACTCCGAATGGGATTTTTTTTGTGACATCATTATTGACATCGCCACCATCATTTACTTGTGTCGCCACAGTAAATAAGAGTTATATTAAAAACTTTAGTAGATTAATTATCAACTTGAAAACCTTTCCCAATCACTTAGGAGATATTGTGGCTTTCATCTAATTTTTTATATTAATGCTACACGACAACGCCAAAATTTATATAATTAAAACAAATAACGCGACAGTAGTAGTACATTGATATAATATAATTTGTAAGTTACCTAAAGCTGCTGTATATTTTTTACAATTTGTACTCGAAACTCCAAAAATTGGTTAAAATTGTTTTTAGTTAATAATTCTAATGGTTCCGGGCAAAGTTCCATCACCCCATTAACTTACTTAGTTGATGTATTTAGGTTACTATGTAAATACATAAAATTAAAAACAAGTTTTGAAGACCGCAGAAGCAAATAAAATAATTAGTATACCTCTTGTAAGGGAATCAGGCCGTGAAAAAAAATCACTCGCAATGCAAAGAATAGCAATTAAATTCGCTTAGGTACCTGCCGTATATTATTCATTTATAGTCGTAAAATTTTGTTAATTTTAAGTTACGTGTCTTCTTTTATTCGATGTAGTAATAATTTATTACAAAGTTCATTATCAAATATTACTTTTAATTTATATAAATTTAGCAGCAGCAAAGAAATAAGAGAGCTGAATACTCCCTTTCCTTTGATTTTAATAAGTTTATAGTTTCTTTGCAAAGCTTGATTTTCGATGTGGTCCGATATATCATTATAAAAAAACATTTCTACCCCCTAAGGGTAGAGCAAATGGGGGATGAAGTTTGCGAATATAAGTAGTTAAACGACATTCCCGTTGTTACCTTGAGCTTGTGATAGAAATATCACCAGCTCACTCCCAAAAGTAAGAATAAAAATTTTAGTAAAAAGCAAAGATCAAATTGAAAGAACTAAAAAGAAAAATTTAATTTCCACATACTCTACATCTTCTACTTCCATTTTTGTATACCTGCACTATGCCTTAGACTCGGATACGGAAGCTGTTATTTGGAAATTATTTAAATTTATTTCTTTAGTTTAGTAATCCAAAGTCGGATTTTACATTATAATATAATCAAAATTTCAATTTATGTAGTTTATTGTTTTAATTTTCTCCAAAATCCATGACGAAAATCCTTCGAGCAAATTTTATTTTTATTCTAAGGCTGACAAATATGGACACAGTCCACCTATTAGTAAGTAGATGCTGTGGCCCATAGACATCTACATCTATCCTCCATTACGAATCATAATGTAGATAGATACGTTGTCACCCCTAAAGACCAACATGGAATGCGCTGTTTTCATTGGAAAAGGGTCTCCGGTTCTCTACACTCACCATACGAAACACAGCAGCATTGAGCTACTATTTTACGCTGGTTTTCTGTGAGAGCGTGGTCCTTCTCAGTCGAGCCGACCCGGTTTTATAGCTGCAGCATGACTCTACCACGTCGAAAGTTTCTCGTACTGCCCCGTTTCAAAACGTCACGTAATATTATTTGACGTCACGCTCCACCTTTTATAAGAACCGCAACATGGACTGCCGACGTCCTGTGTTGCTCTATGGTAAGAACAATTTTTGTATATCAATGGTAAGAACCTTACTTGTGTAAGAACTATTTAAAAAGATATAGAATATGACGTCTGCTGATTTCTATAATAAAATTCGCATTCCTCGTTTAAACGCAGGTGCAATCTGACAAAGTAACATGACTGCAAGATACTCGTAATTCTGTTGATTCCTTGCAAGCAGATACGATCAGATATTGGTATTGAAACTTGATAGTTAATAATGTGAGCTGCTATTGAAGTTACCCTACTAAGCATCTGTGCCAACTGGCTCGTCTGTTCTCGCTCCTTCGACACTTAATATTGTGTCTGGTATATCGATTTACAATGTTATTCGATTTGTAATTATAGAATGAGCATTGTGTAATGTTGTGACGCGCAGAAACATTGCAACAATGGATATATTTTCATTTCTAGCGCTTTTAAAGAACAATAAAAATACAGAACAATACAATAACGCACGATTCAAGCATAAAAAGGATTAAAAGTTCATAATTTTAAAATATTAGACAAAAATAAATATCTTACGTTTAAATTGACTGTATATTTTATTATATTAGTAAATAATCTCTTTGACCACAGAATAAACAATAATACTATATACTTTTTGACTCACATTAAAAATTGTATTTTAGTTAGTACTTATCTACGCTCGTTTTGTCCAGAAATATCAATTAGAGCAGATTTTCGAGTATTTATGGTTTTCGTCTATTCTTTAGTTTTTATTTTATATTTTCCACATTATACCTGTTTATTTTGTTCATTAGGGAAAAAATAAAAAAGCCCTTTGCGACTAATGATACATCGCATTAGTGATTAAAAACAGATAATGCTTGTTTATGCTGAGAAAACTCGGCCTTGGAACGTAACAGATTTGAGGAAAGTGAAACTATGAAATCGCTACCAAAACGAGAAGGCAGCGAACGAAAAACCCGCTGATTGCGCGTTTTGCAATTTTCGACTACAATTATTAGGGTTGCCTGTCGTGGCGTGTTCGCAGTGTTAACTTATTTTACAGAGTTTCAATGAAATTTAAATCAGGTGTTTATAGTACGGTGATTCAGACTTTTGAACAATTGCAAAGGAGTACTGTTCTCAAAAACTAGTCATATATTACTTATTTTTATTATAATAAATTATAATCATACGTAAATAACATTTAGAGATAAAAAAATGATATTTACACGGGGCTGAGCGTGTCAAATAAAACACGCAGTTCCATCTACTGGGAAGTTGCTGATGTAGACACCTGCATTTATTATCCTCGATTAAAAAATACAAAGTGAAAATGAAGGCGTTGTGAAGTACCAGTTATATAGTCTTTGGTTCGTATAACTTGCGATACGAAACAAGCAGTATTATACAGCTTTTTATGCTGTTATTCTTTGTACTCAAGTAGACTTACTCTAGTTGAAGTTTGATCCTCAAACACAAACTGCAAAAATACTAATAAACAACAAGAATTTATTGACCATACACGATAATCGATTTTAATAATTATATTCCAGTTTCATGCCACGAGAGTGGTCATAAAAATACCATCCACAGTAATGGCGTCGTTTTCATGATTTACAGTGGTGATAGCATCCCTGATGACGGTCATTAAAAGCAAACGCATTCGCTTTCGCGCGTCTCCGTTTTCAGGACGGAAATGTTAAAGTGCACGTTTTCGAATCGACCGATAGTTGCTTTTGACCATATTATGTGACGATTCGATACTATAATGAATCGTAGACTTCCTATAAAACGAGTTTCGAGAGAACAATTTGACTGTGGTTCAAACTTTAAATAGCTACATATCATTCTTAGTAAAGTGTAGCTACACTAAAAATAATTTGGGATCACGTCTGAATATAATGCAAAATTTGAACAGCACATTTGATAGGTGTGGTTGAAATGGTATAATTACAGGCTTTGTGCATTTAATCTTAGTTCTCGGGATGACCATGCAACTATTTAATTCTTTTTTATTGCATTCGTTTGCAGATATCTACCTGCTGTGTAGCTAATTGCCACCAGGCGAACTGTAATTCCAAGGCTATTGAGCGGTCCACAGCATAGGTGCACTTACTATTAGGTTGACAGTGTGTATGCTCGTCACGCTTACGTAATTAGAAAATAAGCTAAGTTTTATAGATATGCTTACAATTCGCCACGGTTTCGCACGGGTGATTTCTGGATCTCACGTAATTAGAAATAAAGGGCTAGGTTTTATAGATACGCTTACAATCCGCCCCGGCTCCGCACGGGTGATTTCTGGATTTCGACAACAGCGCCACCTACCAAGGTCCAAATGTAAATATAAATCATTTAGGGACCCAATCAAACACACCAAATTTCATCTATGAGAAAATTAGCTAAACAAATTTTAGTGAATTTTTAAAAGGTGACGGAGAGGAGGCGTGGGACTAGCACCTGTTAATCGATGATCATTAAAGGTGAAGCCGAAGCGGAATGCGAATGTACGCAAGAAAAATAATTTCAAGTTCAAGTGTTACATTACGGACATAGATTTTTGAAATGTTTCTTTAATTATATAAAAAAATTTAACAGTTAATTGGTTCAACCAACTTTTCAATAATTCTAATTTTGGGTAACGGTAGTTGTAACATAAAATCCTGGCGTGGACACCAGACAATACTGTATTGAGCACGGCCCGCCCATCCTTTTTATTTATGCAAGAAAAAAGAAATAAGCACCTGGACGTTCTTACGTCATCAGCTAATAGCTGTCTATTAGCATATTCCAATTCTATGTAATTGCCATGCGGGTTGGTGACCGTAAAGTCAACGCGTCACACTTTACCGCTGCTTCCTGTCGCCGCTCCGAATATTCTTAAATATAATAAAGTAGTTATATTTCAATCTATCGCAGACTATCTTCATGACATTCCCACTATACTACACTTACGTTGCGCAACACAGCGAGGTAGAAAATATCGCCGTTGCTGAAATGTGAACATTTTATAAGTTATATTGTAGTGAACTCAATAGTACCACTTTTATATTCCAACACGCGGACTCAACGGACATACGTGTACTTATTACTTCCTTATTGATAAATAATAAAAAACCCATTTACTTTTGTTTTATGATTATCTTTGGCATCGTTTAACAAATCAGTTATTTCTTCAACAGTAAAACATTCGTGATGGATCCTTTTTGGTTGTAAGGTTAAACCACTAAATCTAAACAGAAAGTGATCTTTCAGTAGCTTGAAATATAAATAAAGACTATTATATTTAGGTTTCAGTGTTTATTTATAACATTTTATCTATTTAACTTAATCATTAAAATAAATAGCAGGTAGGTCCAACAAAATTCTAAAGGTATTTACTTTTTTTTAATAATATATTTAGTTTTTAAATCTTCTGAAAAACCGACATTATCTAGTTTAGATTATACATATATATTCAGTGCTATGAAGTCTTAGCTGCTTTAAGCAATGTTGTGGTACAATAAAACTAATATTTCTTATCTACACTTAAAATTCATTGGCATTAGAAGTGTACATTGGAGATAACGAACGTTTTTGTTTCTAATGCTTCGATTCCATTACACCTGTTATCAGATATCTCAGACACATAGCATGTATATACGATGATGTAAAAGCTTTATTTTAAATTCACTGAATTTATGCATGTGCCGCCTAATATTGCCGCAAAATAAACTAGTTTATTTAAAATATTATTACTAATTACAATTATAGATAATAAGGGGATTGAACGATCTGAGTCCGATCTCTGGTGTAGTAGTTATTAGTTTCAAGGCAGTTTAGTTTGACGGGCAAAAGTCTTTTCCGTCAAGGCGATAAATATGGGCCCGGCCTGAATAAGTTTTGACTGACTTTTCTTTCCAAAATGCCACCATCTAAAATATGCTGCCCGTGGTCATCCTAGCCCCACCCTTGCTACGTCACGGCAACCTAAGCCGCACATCTAGAAATGTTACCGTAACTTCTGTTATTAACTAAGTACGTTAATTTATCATCTTCACCGCCTTAACTTAAATTGACCTCATACTGGCGACCATTTTACAGAAATATGATATTATTACCGTTATTCATTAAAGCTGTTCCAATTTTTAATTTAATACTTAATTTAACTTCTATTACTTAATTGCATTTGTTGGTAAACACGCCATCTTATCAAGTGGTTTACAACTATTAAAATGAATGATAATGCGAGCTAATATTATAGGCGACAACGCATTTGCATTTTGATTATTAATCGAAGGATAGATGTGGATCGTTTGCCCATTTGTAACCCTTACTGTATAAAAAAAAAATATAACTACACCAAAATACTTTGTAAAAGGTTTATGTTTGTTAACAGCTATTCTTTGTGTTTGTATTTCACTTACCTTCAATTGCCTTTTGCCAATTAAACTATAAAAAGGTTGTTAATGATACAATAGAAACAAGGATAATGAATTAATGTCAAATTACTTTGTGTTTTTAGCCTCTTTGCGCGGTTAGCCTAAGCGCACGTCTGGATTTTATTTTCCTTTGTCACCCATACGTGTATAATAAAAACATACAAAAGTAACACACTCCGAAATACTGAGTACAAAAAAATCGTAATGACATAATTGCAGTCAAGTAATCATATTTTGATGATGCTGATAGATTAGTAGCTTGAACGAATTAATCGTTCAAGATTAGTAGTTAGTCTCGTTTCAATTTTACCTGCTACCTGTAGCTTCTAAGTACAAACAATTTGAATGTTGAAAATTGTTAAGAGAAACGTTTGCGGTAACAAAACCCCACAATGGGCGCAGGAAGAGACAGTGTCCGGGCCGGGAGCACTCAGGCGTGCGGCAATTTAACGCCGCCACTCGGCGACATCGCTACGTATAATATACCAGTTTTATATGTTCACCTTCTAATAAAGCTGTTTACCTCCTTGTAACTACATTTGAGCAATCGAAGGCAGTGTTTTATGTGAATAAAAGTAACTAACGAACCAACAAATCGATGGTAAGCGATTTCGATTAAAAATAAATATGTTGGTGATTTGATACTTAGGTTACGAAGAATGTAGGCATCGTCTTTAGTTCGTTGTTTATTACTAATATATATATATATATATATATATATATATATATATATATATATATATATATATATATATATATATATTTTCGACATAACACCACATTATTTAATTTATGATTATATAATCTTGCTGTCACAAGAAATCACCTAAGCGAAAGAAAAATCACGGCATAATATATTATTATTTAAAAAAAATACAACATTTACATAGGATAGGGAACAAAGAAATTCAAAACTAATCTTCTTACATTTAAAAAATAGTTGGAATCGGCTCTTTCATAACAATATGTTGATCAAAGAGCCACATCGTTTTATATAATAGCCGGCTACTGGTATTTGGAATTATAATAATATTTAGCAAAAAATAACATCAGAATTTTAATTTGTTAGTCATAATTAAGTATATAGTCACGGTAGTATAGTTAAGAGCCACATCGTTTTATATAATAGCCGGCTACTGGTATTTGGAATTATAATAATATTTAGCAAAAAATAACATCACAATTTTTATTTGTTAGTCATAATTAAGTATATAGTCATGGTAGTATAGTTTGCTAGTTATAATTAAATATATAGTCACGGGGGGACTGAGGTGTTCAAGGTTCCATTGAAAAAAGTTTACCATGGCTACCTTCAGTTTGAAATTATTAAATTTAGTTCGATCTACGCATAATTAGCTGATAGTATGTTGAATGAGTCTTGCTGATATATGCACATTGACGTAGGATAGGGAACAACCGTATTTGTTTTTCCCTATCCTATGTATGTAAATGTATGTTAAACTTAAACTTGATGCCATGGTTGTATACAAATTTGTATGTAGGTACAACTATTAGATTCGGCTGGGATACTGACATGAATCTTAGGCTGGTATTCGAGATAGTTGAAAATTCAGGTCTGAACCATGTTGCATTAATTTTGACGTTACGAAGTATGAGGTTTAACTCGAGGTTGTCTCTGAATACGGGCCTTAGGTGCTTAACCTTAAACCCCAGCTGCAGCTAGCTTGGTTTGGCTACAAGATGATATCATTTTGTCATCTTATGGACGTCACGCGTTTGTCTGCCTAGCGCTTTTTACATTCGCCTCTTTCGACTCCCTCGGGACGAAACAGTGATAATTCTCTTACGCCACTATCACACGACAGTTATATGTTTCTTTTTAATAAAGTTGAAGTGACACAATAAGATAGAAGCCACAGTCTGTAATTATTCAGTCTGTAATCACTCAGCATTGCAATCACTCTTATTTGGCGGCAGAAATAGGCAGAAAGATGATGGTACCTACCAGATGTACTACAAGCTAGAAAATAATACACTTAGGTTTTTTTGCTGGTTCCCTATAGGATAGGATATGTAAGTAAAAGCATCAATAAGCAACACGTAATAATATTTTTTAAATAAAAATGTTCAGTACTTCTGTATTCTCTCTCAATTTGACGTTAAACGTTTTCATATCATAATTTTGCGTTCGTACCTGACTACCGTCTATGTGGGTAGGCAAAAAAATCAATTTGGTATTATACGTTCTTTATGATTCTTTAGGTTCAGCAGGAAACGTTTCAACACCGAATGAAACATGACGAGTGGCAAATTACGACGATTTTGCTTCTGTGCAAATAATGTACCTTGAATTGGCAGAAATAACTTGATAACTTTTCATCATATGTTTGTTAAACATTCTTTATCAATGATGATAAATAATTAAGACAATCATATATATATATATTTACAGTCACATGGTTAGGCATTGTAAACAATAATATTATTCATTAGTTTTTAACATAAATTGACAATAAATATTTATTGGTGATGGACTTGCGAAAGCTATTAGTTTTCAAGTACCTACGAAGGTACTTGAGATGTCATAGTCATAAACGTAAGTGCAATCAGAACTCTCTTCATCTTAGAATCTTACAGTAACCTTAGCCGCTTCTGATACGATTACGTAACCGACTAAGTCACGACTCACCTCATCCGGACATGAATATTAATAATTTGCCATTTTACTAACAAAATAAACGTTAAATAGGTAACGGCTTTATATCCTGCGTTTTACGGGTAGATGGGGGAACAAGGATTGACCTTACCTCTTCAGACTACCCTCTTTTCGTGAATAATATATTTGAAAACATTGCCGGACTCGAAGACAATTTTTTTTAGTTTGGATCCGCTTTGGGACCTACTAGTATTCCGACTCAAACCATCACGCCTCGCCATGCGATAGTCTGTTACAAAAACACTCTTTTTGACCTCCAAATAAAATGTATAGCCGATAATTCTTGATAATGTTCATTAGCATAATATTCATGTTTGTTTCCAGACGGGCGGTGCGGACAGCGGCTCCGGCGGCTCGGGCATGGAGTGCATGCAGCTGCGCTCTCAGCCCGGCCCCTTCCACTACCTCATCTCGGAGCAGGCTAAATCGCTCGTCGCCCTGCAGGTGTGTTTACGCCGCAACTGTACACAAAGCGCTTGTGATTTTTATAGTAATATAATCCTCGGACCAACAAAGAAAGTCAGACAAGCCAAGAGCCAAAAACATTGCTCTCAGCTTAAGAATATGCACTCTCACTTGTATGCGATCTGGAATGTATTTGTTTTGCAACTAAAACTATGTTTTAAATGCATATGTTCAAGGAGTGGTATTTTACGGGCTGTTAAAAGAAGAAAGAAGAAGGATATGTGCGTGTCAAGAAGTAGAGCATGGTTTCGATTTCAGTGTCACTCAAGATATGTAGGTACGCTGTGTTACGTCTTTCTTTGTTAGTCTGAGGTATAATCATAAAAATTGAAGGATATTTTATATTTAAGAATCCAAAACATCGAATATGTGTTAAGATGGCAACAATTTAGTATCTGTCCTGCTGTGGATTAAAAGAACTGTAGTAGTAAAAGGTTAATTTTATTGAAATTCCGTAATAAAAAGACTCCAAAGGTGTAGCTATTGTGTGATACTATTACGTTTTTTGAATATCAATTAACTTTGAATTGTTAGTACCTGAATGCATAGGTAGTTGCACTCTATAGTTAGCTATCCATTTAAAGCTTGCAGCTGGCGTTAACAGTGTCTTATTAGGAAATGTTTAAAAATAATGCTTACTTATAAGAAAACTAACTTAACTAAAATTTTCATAAAATTACTTTGTAAAACTTCCTTTAATTTTCATTAAAATCTTTTAGCGGCCTGTTTCATAATGTACCTTTTAGTATTTTTTTTTATATTTTTTCAGGATTCGTAAGGTATATTCTCACAACGAACCGTGTACTGGCGGCGTGTAAGAATATCCATTTCTCCATATCGTCACAGTTTAAAGAGCTAACAGTTGTGAAACACCTTTGATGCCAGGCGATGCCGCAACCCGCGTATGTAATTTACTATTTACGCCGTCGCGTCGCGTCGCATCGTCGCAAAGCTAGGGGTTGTCACGAAATTGGGAATAAAATAATTTTGTATATTATAATACTCATTATCATTTATAAACGTTATGTAAATACTTATAAGTTACAAACATTTATTGAACGAGATAATTTTTTTATTACTACAAGAAAAAATACGTTTAAAACAAATGTTGCACTGCCAAATATTTTCGTGACACTTTCTTTGTATAAATGTTTTTAGGTTACTAATGTTAAATTACATATGTATTGTATGTAGTGTAGTTGTGTTAGTTAGTAGCATTAGGGTAAACCATTTATCAAAAAAATTTGGGAATCATATGCCTGGCCGTCATTTCAATTCAAGTTTACTTAGTCTATATATATATATAACACAAAAATGTTTCTAGCTATGTCCGTTATAGACTTTGTAACCATCCCATCGATTTTGATGAATTTTTGGAATGTTGGAATGGGTACCTAGATGTTATATATTCACGTTTAGACAAGATAGGTGGCGCTGTTGTCGAGATCCTGAAGATGCTGAGATCGTGCGAAGCAGGGGTGGATCACTAGTGAAATATATTTTCATTGCCTGGAAGAATTCACAAGATGCCTTAAGTATTTATTGTGATCTTTCCAAGACTTTCGATTGTGTTCATCATGAGCTATTAACCAGGAAACTACATCATTACGGTGTCAGAAATATTGCCCTTAGACTTATTATTTCATATTTAAATAACGTAACTCAAAAAGTCGTTATCATTGGTACAGGTTCCTCCGGATAGGTACTGTCAATGGGCGTTCCTCAGGGTTTGATTCTTGATCCATTCCTGTTCCTAATCTATATTAATGACCAACGTTATCTTTTAGGAGGTAATCAATTAATTATGAACAATTTGCTTTGAAACTGCAATACCTAATGTTAAACATTCGAATACCAATGTGCTCTTAAATTTGGAGGAATGGAGTGGAATGGATATGAATACCACTGTTTTTCTTTGTATTACTATTAACGCGAAGCTGCAATGCCCCCCCCCCCCCCCCCCCCCAAATATCTAAGTTATAGAATAAGAGTAAGAAAGATAAAAGTCTCACCAATGTTGAGACAACTAGAATAGTTTATATTAGTTACTTTCATAGTGTAATGCCTTATGGAATATTGCTATGGAGTAATGCTACTGACATTGAAGCCATATTTCTGTTGCAAAAGAGAGCCGTACAGGCGATTTATAACTTAAATTGTAAAGAGTCCTTCAGAGAATTGTTTTTAAGAAATAAACATATTAACTTTGGGATCGCAATATATTTATAAAAATGTAATGTATGTACATATAAACGTAAATAGCTTTGATAAGTATAAAAGATACTTTAAATACCGGGAACAAACATAAGCTCGTAACTCATAATTATAACAATAATTCAGCATTATATTTATAGCAAGATATTATATTTTTCGAAAACAGCCCCTAAAATTATTATTTGAAACACGCTCGCGTTAACCGCATGTATTGTACAGCAGACTTGTGGAGTGCGCTGGCACAAACTCGCGCCGCCCACTGCCTTGCAAGACCCCGCCATTGCTCGGCACAAGTGCATTCGTTACCAAACTATCAGACTTTAAACTATGATATGGTCCCTATGGTATGGTGGGTGTCGTTAATAGACGATTGAGGGAAACTGAAACAAGAAATGGGCAGCAGGAAACGAGCAGCATTTGATAACAACTCAAAATTATAAGAAACTGCGGATGCGAAATCACCTGCCAAGCGTAGCAGCTATGGCAAAATCCTCTCTATGAAGTTATTTTGTGGAATATATTTTTTACAGCTGTTTTTTTTTTGTTACAATTTATTTATGACGTTATTAATTTGCTATCGCTATTTTCTATAACGGTTATTTACTGTTACGATTTTTTAATTTACCACAGGAGCTCCAGAATGAGGTCGGCGCCTTACTCGAGTTCCGAGACCTCGTCATCGAGACGTTCCCAAACCTGCGCTCCAAAATGGCGCCGTCGACGCCGGCGAGTGGCACGCGCAGGGACTGGGAACCCGGGGTTCGAGTCCGGCGGAAACTCGCCGGGGGAAGTGGCGACACCACCAGGGCCAAGCCGCAACCTTCCGTACAAGATTCCGGATTTAGCACCGAGACTTCATGTGGAAAAGACGCGCACTCCTCCGCTTCGGCGTCCGCGTCCGCATCCCGATCCCGACCACTGGAAGACGAACTGTGGGCTCTGCTTGATACGATCCAACGTAAGGGCCTCCGTATACGCGACGAAGCGGAACTACTGCGAGGGGAGTTGGATGAGAGACGATCGGAGACAACGGAAGAGTCGTTCGCTCGCGCTTTGTCGGCCGGATGCGGGGACTGTACAGATCTCGTCCGATTGCGGAGCGAAAGGGACGCCTTACTTGCGAGAGCGGCGCAGTTGGAGGCAGCCGCTGCTCTGAGTCCGCCCCCGCCGACTCATACATCACTCGGTCGTCTCGACACAGCGCTCGAAACGCCAATTCGACCTCCGCTTGTGCCAAGCCCCGACTCGAAGAAATTCGCGGCGATTCTCCAAGAGAGCAATCCCGTAGAACTTCAGAGGCAACTCCTCACTTCCGTCGTACAAAACCAGGTTTGTATTTGCCAAGAAAAACAAATTATTTTATCGTTTTTCACCTCGCATAATACACGAGTATACTGATCTTAATTTTATATACTTGTACTGATTTAAATTTTGCGTAATGGAAGCCAACGTAAAGCTCTCTGAAAAGGTCTTAATAATAATCAATCATTACATCACACACAAAAGATACTGCATATAGTGACAAATTACTGGTGCAATATTCTTAAATGATTTTTTTTATAGGATAGGGTGACAAACGAGCACACAGTCCACCTGATGGTAAGTGGTTGCTGTGGCCCATAGACATCTACATCTATCCTCGATTACGAATCAAAATGCAGATGCGTTGTCATCCGTGACGACTAAGGTGTAATGCCTCGTTTCCAGTAAAAAGGGTCTCCGGTTCTCTACACTCACCTTACGAAATACACCAGCATTAAGCTACTATTTCACGCTGGTATTCTGTGAGAGCGTGGTCCAATTATAAAAGTCCAATAATAAAATAAAACAAAAATCATTTCTTTTATTTACGCAAATACTACACATTAAATAATGATGATATCCTCTCTACACCGAATTACAGTTACAGCAGTCTGTCCAAGCGGAGACTAGCCATCGGCGCTGGATAGGATTCTAGTGCACAATTTGTTGCGCAAACACAAGTTCACTTTCTTTCCCTCACTCTTATGGTCCGGTGAGATGGAAAACCAATATGACCGAAGAGTGATCAGGCTAAAAGACCAACTACTTTACGTGTTAGAGTTGAGACCAATGAGGCAGTCGACTAACATATTGAATTACATTTACGGATTTTATCGGGTTAAATTAAACTTTTTTTAACTCTCGTTGTTCCGAGTGCTATGCAGCACACTTTGTCACGGGAGAGGAGAGGGGCTGAAGTGTTTGAGATATGTGTGATATGTGATGTGAGGATGTATGTGTGGTGTGAGATGAACACCGTAAAAAGTAGTTTCATTCAATTACACTATTCTATTTGTTGTACAGAAAGTGGCTGTGTACGCAGAAACGAGATTATCCATAATCTGATCGTTAATCAATGAACCGTTTGGAGGTTGCTTATATTCGACGATATAGTCAATATGTGGTTAGTTAGATGTGATGTGAATCATGACACAGTGTAGACTTGTCAGCTTTCGCGATGTTCCCATTTGATGTGAACAAATAAATTGCACAATGTTTTCTAAAAGCTTCTACTGCCTAAAATTTTTCTTTCGCGCTCTCTGTTTACATATTTACTAGTTAACAAAACTGTATAACACAAACGAATACCACTTTTATCTCTGTTACATAAAGTGCACAGTGATTAGTAAAACGCTTTAATTTGTGCACAGTACCAGTGAGGTAACAAAGTACGTGCGAGTCGATGCCGGGTAAGTTGTCATTGGTATAATAATGCGGGGCAGTGTGACGCTGTGACGTAACTTAGAATTCAGCAAAATGACGCGGAACAATGAAGTCTAATCGACTGAGGCCGCGATCAGCCAACCATCGCCATTAAACTGGTAAAAAATTATCCATTCGGCTCTCTTTTGTTGGTCTCCGCTGTATGTTTTGTAACGGACTTCGCAGTTTACTTTATTCCGCGTTATTTATTTGACTTTGCTTTCAAAGCGTGCTCAATAGTAGTACAATATTGTTTTTAATCAGTTATTAAGTTTTTCCGTAATGAAATTCTCAGTAGCTGCCCGAATTCAGAAAATTGGCTGAGTTTCACACCCGTGCCTCAGAAAGCACGTACACAGCCTTTGGCCCTTCGCCTGATCTCTCTCCGATCGTGTCGATTTATCACACTATGACGGTGAGGGAATAGGGAGTACATCTGTGCTTACACTTGAGCACTGTAATCCTGACCTGCGCAGATGGCTAGTCACCGTTGAGGTTGGCCGCCATGATCGAATTCGGTCTGGAGGAGATTATTATTATTGTTTTTACACCAATAAATATAAATTAACTGCTCAGTCATAAAATAGAGCCATAAGCTACCATAACATATCACACAGTATTTTTTGCACTGAAATATGTCCTCGTTGATTTAAACTTGGCCAATCAAATACTACACAGGAACAACCACAGTAACACGAGACTAAAGCATCATTGATTTCATTGTTTTTCCATAAATATGTACCTAACTAACTTTTTATAAGAATAAAAATACGTAAGGGAGATATTGTTTCACTGTCGGCGTACTTTATATACCGAGTAGTGGCGGTGTAAGAATATCAACTATCTTATATCGTCTTATGGCTGTTAAAAGAGGCGACAGGGGGAAGCCAACCAGGAGATGGGCAACAAAGTCGTAATAACATCGAGAAAATGAAAGAAAATGAAATGAAAGAAGCCTGCCAAGCATGGCAACAATGGCGAATAATCCCACTTACGAGGCCATCTATGGAGAGGTTTATGTTCACCTGCGAACTTTAGAGGCTGTAATTAATGAAGGAATGTTTAATAAACACAGGTTTGTAATTCGGTTTTGAAAATATATGATAGTGCGAATCACGTGTCTACGCTCACTGAATTTGAAGGTTGAGTTACATTCGTATCCGATAGGCATTACATACCTACTACTTATGTTTACGGTATGCGACTATTTGCATTTTTAGTGCCTATTTAGCGTGCTCAATTATGTATTTATTTCATAAACACGGGTTTTATTAACCAGCGACGAAGTTGTGGAGAGGACGTTGCGAAATCTGCGCTTGTAACGTTTTTTTTGCTTCTAAACTTGTTGAGCGTAATTGAAGTACAGGAAATTTCTATGTGTTTTTGAATTCTTCGGGTATTGGCCAATTTTTAATGGTTATCAAAATAATATTTGGCTCAGTCACTCTTCTTTATATTTGTTTCTGGCAGCAGCTGTTATGTTGTTTTTAGTGTTTTTTCCAATTCAGTCAAATATACGATCTAAATATTAATATTTGGTGATCCATCTTTTGCTTTATTTTATCTTTAAAGAAACTTCATTTATTTTTTACACAAGTATATTTGATTAGTTGGAAAATTAAAGATATTTGGTAATTTCTTCATACTACGATACTATCAAAGTTTTGCGTGTAATAGATGCAGCAGCCGCAATGGCAGCCATTTTATTCCGTCCTATGTCGTAGGTGTCGGCTTAGGGAAGTATTAAAAGGAATTGTGGCTAGAGTTGGGCCGATTTAGTACTTTGGCCGATTGGCCGATTACCCGATTAATCGGTTAAGAAATGGCCGATTAATCGGCCCAGCCGATCTCTATCCCATGATAAATTCAAATGGTGGAACAAAAATTCTTCCATATATCCCGAAATGCCTCGTTTAGCGAAAGATTTCCTTTGCTGCCCCGCCAGCTCTGTGTATAGTGAGAGACTTTTTTCTGAGGCAAGGAATATCTAGAATCTACGAAACAAAAAGAAATTGACTTCAACCAGAAATGGCTGAGATTTTGGCCTTTTTTGCATCACAATTTGCCACTGGTTAAAAATAACAAATTAAATTAAATATTTTCAAAAGAGCCTTCAATACTTTTTCAAATTGAGTATTTATTTTTAACAACTTATTAGATGATTATAGATTCTTTATTTAATAACCTTACAGGAAAAAAAAACAATTTACAAAATAACAATTTGATTCAATTTTTTGTACAAAAACAATAACAATTTAGTTTTAAGTACAGAAACAAGTACTTATGTTCTATTTGTCTTTTAAAAATCTATATGCGTGTAGTTTAACAAACTTGCAAGATTCGATTCAAGAATTAAGTTTTTTTTTGTTATGCAAAGGAGAGACTTAAAGTTTTTTTTAAAGTTTAGGTATTAAGAATAATATTATTAATATTTTATTTTGTTGTGTCACTACTTTGCATTACGATTAGGAAAAGTTAAAAAGTAGAATTAAAATAGTAAGTACTTAGGTTTTTGTTTAGTTTTAAATAGCTACCTCAGATTATTTATTTTTTACCAAAGTTCCTATCTCCAGAATAATTAACATTCAAACATGTGAGACTGATTTTTCGATAAAAGTTATGTATGAACCTACTTATTTTATTATTATATTTGATTTACCTACATATAAATCTGACGTGAGTTTACGCATGGTAGAGAAACTATTCCTTTCTTAAATTTAAAGTTTTACTCATATCAATGTAGCCGCAGTTATCACGCAGAAAATCACGAATAACCTTTGCTGAAATTAATAAAATGAAAAGCCGATTAATCGCTGACTAATCGGTGACTACAAATAGGCCGATTAATCGGCTTCACCGATTAGTCGGCGTCTAATCGCCCCAACTCTACTTGTGGCATATAATAAAGATGTTAAAATTAATTTCCTATCCTATCCGCGTAAAAAACAAGCGCACGCGTCAATTGCGTGCACTATCTTCGTCACCATTAATACCAACACCACCACTCTCAACACCCTACACTAGGAAAGTCACATCATCGTTCATAATACGACTTGTGTTTCGTCACTAAACGAGGTGTAATCGGGAGAAGTAGATTGCTATGGCTGACCGCTAAGTGAACACCTGATTCGGTTAATTAATTACACATTACACACAACCCACTACGGACAGTATCGTTAAAGATTTGATAATGCGATAGCTAATTCTGATGAGCGTGGCGCTCACAGTCACTCCTTCTTTCTGTGGGAAAGGCCTCATGTCAGTTATGGACTATGCAAAGACTGACGATTAAAAAGGACAATAATAAATGCACAAATTAATAAGCACGAAGGTTAAAAATATTTGTATGTTTTTTCCAGGTGTACTGCGAGCAGCTGAAACGCGCGGCGAATCAAAGGTCGCAGCTTTTGGAGAGACTTGAGCGCGCCAGAGAAATCAATGAAGACCTCAAATTCAGAGTAAGTAGGCCCCATGTGTCGTCGACACACGTAAATTCGATTTGTCTCGGGCTTAAACTATGTTTCAAGAGTCCTCTTCACAAAAGAAGACCCTTGTACGCGGCGGCAGTCTTCTCTAATTTAGATTTGCTGTCAAATTCAATACTTTGCATTTTAGTCCACATATTTCCTCGCAACATCTTTTGTGAAATCGTTTAAAACATAGACTAAATATAAACTACTTTTTGTATTAAGACACTAAGTGCCCGACGTGTAAACCAAATATTATAGTATATGTTTTTTTTCCAAAGAGTATCCAAATTTAATATTAAATTTCAAATATATAAATACTGATACACTGTTATTGCAATTTTTGAAAATACGTGTAAATAAGGTTTCTGTTTTTATTTCAAATAATCCCAATTCTTCCAATGCAGCTGTGAAGAGTTTCGTTGATATAACGTCACCCTGTATTACACCTCTCTGCAGTTGGATAGGTTTCGTACTCTGGTTCTGTACTCGGATATCCATCGTAGCCCTACTGTACAAAAACTTCAGCACTTATATACCGACTGTCAACTTGGCACCACTGAAGTGACTTTTGCACCGCCCAAATTTCGACGGAATCAAAGGCTTTCTCATAGTCCACATACGCCAGGCAAAGTGGCAGATTGTACTCTTCGGTCTTCTGTATAATCTGCCAGGTTATGGATGTGGTACTGAAGCCTTTTCGGAAATCGGCTTGTTCGGGAGGCTGCAAATCGTCGAGTCTGCGTGCGAGACGATTCGTAATGACTCCCGAAAACAGCACGTAGACGCAGCTCAGGAAGGAATTCGGTCCGTAGTTCTTCAAGAGCATTGTCACCTTTCTTGAAGAACAAAATCACAGCACTTCTGCTCCACGTTTCCGAAGTAGTGCCACCACGTAGGACGGAATTGAAGAGCTTCTGAAGGACAAGTACCGGTGTTCCACCCGCTTTCAGAAGCTCCGCTGTAATTCCATCCTCGCCTGGGGCCCTGCCGTTTTCAAAGTGCTGGTGAGCCATTCTAATCTCGCTCAGACTGACGTCCGGGATATCATCGGTATAGTATCAGATACGACTTGCTCTTGGATCGTTACATTTGCGTGTGGCTCCAACTAGATGCCCATAGAATCTCTCAATCTCACTCAAAATCTCAGGTGTCCCGGAAACGATGCAGCCACACTCAGTGTTCAGCTTTGACAGTTGGCTCTTTCTGGCAGACAGATCTCTGGCAAAGACTTTGGCGCCCTGGTTTCGCTCAATCGCTTCTTCAGTACGAGCAGTATCAAAGCTGCGTAAGTCCCGCCGCATGCATTTGGAGATCTGTCTGTTCAGTTGTCTGTGTGCTGTCAAATCTGCTGATGACTGCAGCCTCATCTCCGGTCTAACAGCCATGAGATTAAGAGTATGATCAGAGACTTATTGTGTTCTTCTGCGGCGGGTCTTGCAGAACTTAGCTCCGACCGCACGGACAGTTTCCACGAGCTTGTCATTCATATCTTCCACTGCATTGATATCTTCTAGGCACTGAAAACGGTTTTGTAATTCGAGCTGAAAGGTTTCGGACTTTGGATTAGAGCACGAGAGGGACGGAGCGTTTCCTTCATTAGTTGAGACCTCTCCAATTTAATGTTTAGGTTCAGTGTGCCTCTAACCGGTGATCGCTGCCAGTTTTCACCCTTGCGATCACTGAGACATCACTGAGCAGTTGGCGTCTGGTCATCATAATGAAGTCAATCTCATTTTTTGTCGAACCGTCAGGGCTCGACCAGATGCACTTTCTGTGGGGTCGCTTCTGGAAGAAAGAGTTCATCATAAAGAGTCCCTCTTTTTGCATGAAGTCGGCCAGCTGCTGGCCCTTGGATTCCGTTGCCCTATCACAAATTTCCCTACCTTCAGCTCACCGTTCTTTCTTGTGCCTAGCTTTGCGTTGAAGTCTCCCATTACCATTATATTAGTGGGTTTTGGAGGAATGTATGGATCTAGAAATATCGTCATACAATTCCTCCACCTCCTCATCGGGATGTGCTGACGTTGGTGTGTAAACCTGTATGACCTTCAGCAAATACCGTTTGGTGATTCTGAGTATAAGATACGCAACCCTCGCCGACACACTCCCAATATTTACGACATTGTTAACGAGAGACTTGTGGACGATAAATCCAACACCTCCTTGGGACAGATGGTCACCCACCCGGTGATAGAACAAGTTGCCGAATTCGAGAAACACCGTGTCCTCCCCTTCTCTTCGGACAACGGATAATCCTATAATATTCCAGCGCAACTTGTATATCTCTTCTTCTAGCTCCAGCATCTTTTTGTCAGACCTCAGGGTGCGCGTGTTACATGTTGCCAGGTCGATTTGTCGTAGGTGGCAACCGAACCTCCACCGAAGATTCTTATCACCCCCTGCTCCGCCGTTACCATGGTCGCCATCGTAGCCAGGAATAGCGAGGCGGGGACTGGGGGCCGCCTATTTGTGTAATTGTTCATGGGGGGTACATTGCCATAGTTGCCATGCTTGGCGAGCGGGTTGGCAACCGCAGTTTTTTCGTTCTACAGTTGCTGTTATCAGGAAGATGGTGCTGCCCGTCTTCCGCCTATTTCCCTTTGTCGCCTCTTACGACACCCACGGGAAGATATGGGGTAGTGGATAGTCTTAACCGCCACTACACGGCACGATATACGTATATTTATTTACGAAAATTTAATGTATACAAAAACAAAGTACTTATATAAAAAATAGGATGTACATTCTGTAAATACTACGAACAAGCATAAGTTAGATATAATGTAACAGTTACTTGACTCCACAGTCTTTAATTCCTTTATGGGGCAATGTATAAGTTTTTACAACAAAGTCTCAGAAAATATGCAGGAACTATATATCATAAAGTTTAAATTTTTTTGTAGGTAAAATATGTTTGAGAAGGGTTTTTATACTAGTATAGAGTATAGGATTGATAATAACCCTTGGGAATGAGATGTTTTCATACTTAAGTGTATAAAATATTAAGTGTAAAAAAAAGTCACACTGGGACTCTTATTGGTTGGACTTCTTGCTGGTTTTTTCCGAACCAGTGATAAAGCTTAAATGACTGTCGGTTAGTATCCTTTTGTAATCTATATTGAATAAAAATGTTTCTATTTTATTCATGCTGAATGTCCATTCTATAGTGTCTCGTCGACCACGAAACACTCAATTGTCTTTGGGCAACACATTACCCTTCCTGTACCTGTACCCTTTTCTGTGCCCTTGGTCATCGCAAGAGATTGACAACGCCAAAATAACATTATTATTGCTATCAATCCTAAAAACCGTTGTTGAGCAAATCACGATTTTAAAACATTTTATACCTATGCATCTACTACAGTATTGACCTACTCTTTTGGTATCAGATAATAAATACACTTAACGACGTTAGTTTGAAACTCTTTCTACCCCACATTTATCAATTCTTTTATTACTTTATTTACCTTTTAATATGTATTTTCAATTATTTAGTTTCAAAATACGTTTTGTTAATTAATCTCAGTAAATGAAACATAAATTAAAATATAATTTACTTTCTGAATGTCTATATACTATACTACAACACTTCATTGACACACAAAAAATCAATTGATTTTAATTTGGTCAGTAAATCACAAATTCAAATTTATGTATTTTTAATTTATTAATCGAAAGGACATGGACATGTTTTATACTTGATTTGTACTCAAAATAGCTCGCACTAACGCATAGCTTGATATTAAATAAATGTCGTCATGGTTAGTGTTAGTTTGCATGAGGTCAAACGTAAGCGCCTTGCGTATGTGTAAATGTCCAAAGATAGTGTACCTACCTGTTGTACACTACACGTGGCAACCCTTGTTGTTTATAGGATTTTGGAGAAAAAGATCATTGGGAAATGTACCATATATTTACGACGAATTACTAACGATTTGCTTATTGTATTTTCTTGTAACGCACGAATATTTGCGCCATCCATCATGAGTGCATCTTAAGATGATCTTCATTCGTCTACAAATATATCAACTTTGTTTTTTCAGTATATTTATTTTATCATCAGCTTTCGGCCAGCTTTATACAAATCCAACCCTCATTATCAAATATTCATAAGCCTGGACCGGACGAATGTGTCCTATCAAACAGCGGCGCGGCATGACCCGGTACGACTCTGTCCCTTCGACAAGCTTTACACAAATCCAACCTTCAACTTCAAACACCAATTCTGTCGAGCACAAGATATTCAGATCAAAACTGCTACGCTCATCAACACATTAGAACACAAAAAGACCACTCAATTCAAATCTTATCGATCAAATCTATCTATCGAAAACTTATTTCAAACTGTTAAAAGTACCTATGTAATCATATTTCGCATGATCATATATAACATAACCAATCCAGTAATAACTTCATCAGGCATGATTGTTTTAGGAATATACTCGATGAAGGATCATAATCGAAGACAATTTCAGACTTTTTTTTAACTCTGGTTTCTTTACTTACTACGTATACGTTAACGTAAGCTCTATAAGACAATTAGCTGCACAATATTTCAAAGCGACTGGTAGTTAGTTTACATGAGCTGTTTTCCGCAACTCCACATATTAGCGCGTATTTTACTTGAGGGCAGGAAAAGAATATTGTAATTATTCGAGTCGTGAAATCTCTCCGAAGAAGTTCAACAGTCCTTTGATGTTGCAAGCAACTTCGGGAAGTAAATCCGGCGTGCTGAGATGCGTGCGCCTTATATGTAGCGACCTCCGGACATACCAGCAACATGTGGGCCACAGTTTCTTTCTCCCTCATACATGTCCTGTACAGTGGACTATCTGTAACACCTATAGTAAATAAATGTTTGTTAAAGCAGTCATATCCTGTAAAAGCACTTGTTGCTATCCTGATCTGTGGCTTGTTCAATCTCATTAAAACCTTGATTAAATGTTTATTTTTGGCAGGGCCTTCCTACGTTGCTTACAGTCCACTAG